TTATTTGAATACACATCTAAAGGACAGAGGGTGGCTGCTTTAGCTTCCAGAGTAAAAGAATGGAGCTGACAAACAGAGCTGAGATGTACTATAAAAAAACGTAGCTGAACCACATCTAATTGTTATTCTCAACTAATCAGACTCTTTTTACACCTTTCTTTATCAAGACAGAGTCAAGAGTTGACAAAACGAGTTCCTATCTAAGATTCATTGAACAATCCTACCAACATAGTAAAGCTTTGGGATAAGTACAGAATGAAATACAGTTCAATATCTTACAATATCTTATCAATTTTCTAAAGCTACACCAAATGACTTTGAAAACTGAGGTCCTGAATGATGCCTTGTAATAGTCTAGGGTGAAAAAAGATTCAATTATGTTCCTTATTGAGGTGGGATGAGGTAGGAAGGTATACTAATATTTTTAGTAATTTGCAAAGTATTTAATTTATAGCTTATAATGTAGTCATATAAATTACTTCATTTCAATTGATAATCAGATTAATGTATTTGCTCAAGGTCACAAAATGTGCAGCACAGAAAAAGAGTGCAGATCTTAGTACTCCAATGACCATGCTTCTTCCCCTAAGACATTTTAAAGATTACTAAACAAGATTAAAGGGAAAGTAGGATACTAATCATTTATTTAACCAAATAATGATTAATAACCTGGTTAACTAAGTTTTTATACTTATAATGATGTGTATAATATCAGATAACATAATATCTCTGCTTTATCTCCAGAGAATTATTTTTTCAATAATTAAAATGGCTATCAAAATTAGAAGATAAATTATGAATGTAATTGATAAATCTTTCTTTTAAGATTTTGAAACTAAAATAATTCAAAAACAAAAGCAATAAAAAAAATTCCAGACTCAACAGTGTTGCCAAGACTTACCTTCTTACTATAAATAACTTTACAACTGAACAGAATATATAAGGCAACTATTGGAAAATTGGCAGCTTAAGACACATTCTAAGATAATCCAAATATGTAATAACAGTTTGAGGACTTAAAGGAAAACATAATCTCAATGAGTGAATAAATAGAAAAGTGCAGCAGGGAAATGAAAATTACAATAAATAATTAAATGGATATTCTAAAACTAAAACATGTACAATAGCCCTGGCTCAGTTAGTTGGGCGTTATCTCAGGTTTGATTCCCAGTCAGGGCACGTACCCAGGTTGTGGGCATGATCTTCACTAGGGGCCATGCAGAAGGCAGCCAATCGATGTTTTGTTTTCACATCGTTGTTTCTTGTTTCTCCCTTCCCCTTTCTCTAAAAATTAACTTTGAAAATCTTTTAAAAAAATAAAATATGTACAATAGCATCAATTTCACTGAATGAGCTTAAAATTTGAGATAGAAAATAAAGGGAAATTACAAAGTATTTTAAACTAAATAATTACAAAATAAAGCAAAAAAATTGGCTCTTTGAACAGATCAATGAAACTAGCAGTCTCCTAGTAGTTTTCTACCAAAAAAAAAAACAAAAAAAAACCTCACAAATGAAAACCAAAAACAAAACAGTAATAACAGCAATAATGACCAATCTATCATAATAAAAGTGTAATATACTATAATAATTAGACCAGACATCCTTCCAGATAACTTTGCAGATGAAGCCAGGGCTGTTAGGGAAAAGGAAGGCCTACTCTTGCACGAATTTCATGCACTGGGCCTCTAGTATAAGGAATAAAGAAGTACTGTTTCCCTGAAAATAAGACACCCTCCGAAAATAAGACCTACTTATAGGTTTTCTTCTGAGTGAAATATAAGGCATCCCCCTGAATATAAGGCCCCCCTACGCTAAACATGAGAGATTTGGTCCACTGACTCTGAAAGAAATGGAGTCACAAGGAATTCACCAGGAAATTCAGGAATTGGATTGTTATGATGATGTTCCAGAAGATGATGACATGATTGTCATTGAATAAATGAGTAAATTCTTGATGCTGTAGGATTTACAATTTGTCTGGTTTGTGTTGATAACTACCGTACTATCTTACCGTATACAGGTAATAAATTTCCTTTATTTTCATTTAACAATAAATGTGTACCGTATTCTTCTTCATGGAAAAATAAGACATCCCCTGAAAATAAGACCTAGCACATCTTTGGGAGCAAAAATTAATATAAGACACTGTCTTATTTTCGGGGAAACTGGGTATATATAACTACAGATCCTGTAGACATCAAACTAATAAAATAATTTTAGAAACAACTTTTTATCAATAAATTTATCAACTCAGTATATTTGTACAATGGAAAACTTGTAAGCAAACTCATACACAGAACAACATGGATACACCTCAACCCCATTATCTTTGATGGGGAGGAGACAAGCACAAAAGTCTCTTGGTATTCTAAAGCTAGCAGAGCTAATTTACAGCGAGTGATAAAATCTGATCAGTGCTTGTAAGTGGGGCAGAATTCAACTGGAATTCACTGTCAAAACTCATCACATTGTACATTTAAACACCTGAACTTTATTGAATATAAATTTACTTGAATAAAATTGATTAAGAAAAAAATTTAAATATCACAAAAATGGGAAGCATTGTGAATTTAGTTCAATTTTTTTTAATTCTTCAAAATTTTAAAATTACTTCTTTTCTACTCTATATCTTCTTAACATAATAGGAAGCACAACTGTGGGCCAGGAAGTATGCTGGATGCTTCCACATAGGACACTGCACAAGACTGTGTCTTTAATTCATGCCAAGATCTAGCACAGTGCCTTTGAAAGACAGGAAGAAGAAAAAAAAAAAAAAAAAAAGGCTGGAATCAGAAGACCTGGGTTCAAATAATGACTATATGCAATCTTTTAGTTTCATGACTGTAGACAAGAGACTTATTTTTAAACTTCACCAACTCAAGGAATGATGTGAAGATTAAGAAATATTATTTTAAAGTAGGAAGTATGCAACGGTTAAATGAAGGACGTAAACAACAACATGAACAGGGAAAGAGTAGACAGGAAGATGCAGGGGAGAGCCTGTTTCAAATCAGGCATTTGTCTATGGACGGGGAGAGGAAAGGGTGGAACAAAGGAGCCCAAAGGAGATGACTTACTACCATGTTCCTGTCATGAGCAGTAGGTGCAGTGATTAGGATAGGGTTGGCTGATGTCCCAGAATAAATATACTTTCATTATGTCCTGAATGACAGCATTCTGGGCTAGCAATCCCTTGTCCTGACAAGGAGCATGAAAAGGGAGGCTCCTGTCCACTTAAGACTCCAAGGGTAGGTTCCTAAGAGTTGCAGACAGTCTTCTATTACTACACATCATGTAATGCCAACATGATTGATGACCACCCATTCTTTCTCATCCTTAGGTTTTCAGAAATTCTGCTGTGAATGAGAAGAGATCTGGATACAGTAGCAGTGACCAGAGCATCATTAATGCCTAGTAGGCTGACCTTCAGTAGAGTTCTAGGGAATCATGTTAGTCTGACAGAGTATTCTAAAAGTACATGAGTATAAAAATCTGGAGGGTGACCTCAAAGAGGCCCAGTTTTAAGACCTAAAAAGTCTGTATTGCCCTAACTGGTTTGGCTCAGTGGATAAAGCATCGGCCTGTGGACTGAAGGGTCCAAGGTTTGATTCTGGTCAAGGGCATGTACCTTAACTGTGGGCACATCCCCAGTAGGGGGTCTGCAGGAGGTGGCTGATAGGTGTTCTAACTCTTTATTCCTCTCCCTTCCTCTCTCTTAAAAAAGAAAATTAATAAAATATGTGTTTGTTTTTTTTAAAAAAAAGTCTCGTATCTTCACCCAAATATGGAGCCACTTGTAGGGCACTTAGAAATTCAATACTCGATCACAGAACAGTGTGACAAGTTACCTGATTAAATTTTAACAGAATGCAATGGGGGCACACAGAAGCAATAATGAACCAAGTAGTGGGGGAAGAAGCAGTACTGGGACCCAGTCTCAAGAAGAGTGACACCTGTGCTGAATCCAAAGATTAATAAGAAGTTATTTGGGCAAAAAATATGTCAAGGCAAGGGGCACAGCACAAACAAAGACTCAAAAGGGTTGGATGGTGATATTCACCGAAAACTGCAAGCAATTCCACAGAACTGGAGCAGATGGAGTGAAGGGAGAATGGGGAGATGGCAGAAGCCCAGGGTGGGTCTTGGGAAGGACCACTGTAATAATCAGGTTGGAGGAACTTACAGTCTACCTTGAAGACGAAGGAAAGTCACTGCAGGATTTTAATCAAGGTGTACCACAATCAAATAGATCATTTCTAAGAGATCATTCTGGCAACAGTGTGGAGAACAGACTGGAAGGGGATGAACATAGACATGGGAACACTGGTTAGGAGACCGCTGAGGAGACCCCTGTGGGAATGACAGTGGCCTAGCACAGCAGCACTCAGAATGGAGAGGAGATACAGGAATGAGGTCGAACTCCCAAGACTTACTCACTGATTCATGTGAAGATGAGAGAGAGAGAAAAGGAATCAAGCAGGTCTCAAGCTCAGATGGACAGGCCTCCTGTCCACCAAAAGAAAGAATATGTCAACTTCTATTTGAAAGTATCAAAAACAATGATTTGGGACTATATTTCAGGGGGGGAAAAAAGAATTAACAGAAAAGCACGGATTTCCTTAGACAGTATGTATACTCTATCCCCAAGAAAAATCAAGCACTTAAATTCACAGAGAGGAATAAGCCAGAGTTAAAGAAATTCCTAACATGTTGATGAATGACTAGTAATCAAAGAATAACACAGTGGGCAATTCACTAACAAGAGCGCCATCTACTGCCATATCAGGATAGTGCAGCAATGACATGCCAACAAAGAGTGGAGAAGGAAGCTAAGTGCTTGGACACTTCACATTGTATGTGTAGTCCCTGAATATCTGACCCCCCCTTCCCGCCCCAAAATCTAAGTGGTTAGCACTTTCAGCTAATAGCCAAATGTTTTCACTTACTTGTGAAACATCAATTCAGTTGATATGATCATTTGAATAGAATATGCTTACCTGCCATCATTGCTATCATGCTGGCTTTATAGACATTAGTGAGCGATCCAAGTTCTCCTGTTGCTAAGATGGTTTTGAGATGAGCCTCCCCACAGGCCTTTCGAAACTGACGGATCTCATCATACAGGGCTGGGGGAGGAAATAATTGAGGCCGTTACAAAGCAGGCAAGTGATAACATGATTTGGCAGCCGTTTAGAGCTGGTAGAGCCCATCTCAGATTTAGGAAATATAAAACATTTGTCACTTTCTAAAAATCGCCCTAATTTAATATCGCCTGGAGCATTCTGTTGCAGTTCACATTCTGTTACAAGGAATGCTTCGTTTGCTACCACGAAACAGTTTCCAAGCTCTGGCCCGAGGTCCAGAGACATGAAGACTAAAAAATATATATATATCATTATAATGACATGCAAATTACAAATAATTTCTACCTCTTCCCGATGAAGGTTACTAATAAGAAAAGTAACATACAGGGGTGTCCCACTTTGCAAACTAAAGAAAAAAATCCTCGGGTCCCTATTAACTCTCCCATTCACACCTAATAAGTTCTCCTGGAATATAAATCAGGCCTTTCCTAAGAGCCCTGCTAACGACAATAAAGACATAATAGCTTGTCACATTATCTGCCAGGGTATGTATCTGTATCTCTGATGAAAACGTGTCGAAGTGGCCTTGGATGTATGTGTGCAGAACCAGCTGTGGAGGGATTTACAGATGCGGCCTTGAACCTATTAAGCCCTGACCCTAGAACCACATCTGGCTTTCTCAGGCTCCATGCAGCACCCTAAAGCAGCTCGGTCATACGCATATAAAGCTGTACACAACAAAATAAAGCCGAGAGGAAAAACAGTTCCTAGTTAAAGTAACAGAATTTTAGTCAACAAAATCAATAGGGTAAGTATAAAATGTTTGGGGAAAAAAAATTGTACAATCATATATATATATATATATATATATAATTGATTTTCCACAGAGAGAAAGGGAGAAGGGTAGAGAGCTAGAAATGTTGATGAGAGAGAAACATCGACCAGCTGCCTCCTGCACACCCCCTGCCGGGGATGTGCCTGAAACCAATGTACATGCCCTTGACCGGAATCGAACCTGGGACCTTTCAGTCTGCAGACCAATGCTCTATCCACTGAGCCAAACCAGTTTTGGCCATACAGTCTTTTGTCCTGACACCAGTGGATGTGGGCTCTCACCCTGTATCAGCTTGGCCATATTCATTTCCTGAACATGAGCCTACGGTAAAATATCAGGACTAAGGACAGGGTTTTGTCTTTTTTCTGTATGTGTGTTTCATAGGAAGTAGTTTTGTAAGCACACAGACTAAACTGAACAAGAAAGAAACATTCATAAGCATTTTTAAATACAACAATGAGAGCTCTGTAATTCATACGTTTCCTAAAGAATATATAAAGTACTTAAACGTCAGCAAACTCAGTCAAATCCAAGAAAGTGATAGCAAGAGGCACAAAACTTGTCTTCCTAATCCCAGAAAACTTAACTTGAAGATATTAATAGAAAGGGGAAACTGGATACGAATAAAGTCAAATATTCTATCGCAAGATGCTTGGTAAAGTTCAGTGTTTACTGCCACCAGACATGGTCTCACAGGTTTTTCAAGAAAAGACTGAATATTTTCACAAGCCCCTAAAAATCTCTAGTTTTGAGTACTAGAGAAGTTCTGAGATGCCACACCACCTACTGTACCCTGCCCTTCCTTACTAAACTGTGATAAGATTATTACTCACACATCCAATCTGACAACATGTGAGAATGGATGGTGTCAACAGTACAAGACTATGTGATGATAACAATTTATATTCTTTTAACTCAGAGAATGAGCTACCGAATCTAAACAGAGAAAGTTGTTCTCGGAAGATGTAGTGACAAGGAAATTCCTTTATCTAAAAATTCAAGAATGCTAATCCACAATACAGTGTTGCCACCAAAAGCAAGCTGGAAGGTCAAGACAAACATAGATTTATATTTTTTAACTTTTTTTTTTTTTTTTTTTTTTTTTTTTTTTTTTTTTTTTAGAGAGAGAGAGGAAGAAAGAAATATCAATGCGAGATGAAACATCGACCAGTTGTCTCCTGCATGATCCCCACTGGGCATCGAGCCCGAAACTTGGGCATATGCCCTGACCGGGAATCAAACTAGCAACCTTTCTGTGCGTGAGCCATCACCAGCCAGGGATAGACAAATGTAGACTTAAAATCCAACTCCACCACATACTGTAGGGCCCTGGGCAAGTTATTGCTCTTAGCCTCAATACCATCCTAAAAGTGTCAATATGAACATTTATTTTATAGGGTTATTGTGAGGATTAAAAGAGAATATATATGAAAAGTACTTTGCACATTGCCTGACTTATTATAAGCACTCAAATCATGTATTCGTTATTTAGTTCAGAATTCTAGTAAAATGAGTTTCCATTAAGTGTTGTGTGATGAAAGCCAGATCTTGTTTCTTGGCCTGATCCAACTCCTCGTACTACACGAAAAGTTTTTATATGGATTAGTGCTTACAATCAATCAATGAGCCATCAGATAAGGCTTGAAAATATTATCTTACAGCATTTGTTAAACTGAAATTTGGCCTACATAACAAAGTTCTGGAAACACTGATCCTGTTCATATTTATGCCAACCTTTTCCTAAAGAGTATTGCCTTTTGATATCCAGTGAATTTCCTCACTTACATTTAACCTCAACCAGAAAACCCAAATGTATTTTATGACTCAATTATCAGCTACCTAGGAGTAATGCTCTTTAATCCATGATCCAAAAAGAATGAAACAAAAATAATCACTTAAAACTTAACTGAATTTAAGCTGCATACTTAGCTTGTATGCAACTAGTGTGTTCTTAGTCTCTACCTGCCAACTCCTCAAATCATTCTACTGACCTGTTTCAACACATTAAGTGGGTCACGTTTTTCTGAGCAAATATATTAATTTATAAGCTCAACATTGGGAAAGTTGTTGGTTCTTTCTCTTACTGTTCCGCCCAGAGTATACCAGCACAATTAAATTTAAAAAGTCTATCAAATCTGGCCTTTTAAAAATGTGGCCTGAAGGCACAGAGCCCGGCACACCCACTGCACACCACAGCTACCAGCCTCGCTGACCGCAGGGGCACCACAGCAGCTCCCCGCCACTGATTCCAAAAGTAACCTCCTGCCCTAGCTGGTATGGCTCAGTGAACAGAGCGTCAGCCTGCAGACTGAAGGGTCCTGGGCGTGAGTCCGGTCAAGGGCACTTACTTCAGTTGCAGGTTCCTCGGCCCTGATAGGGGTGTGTGCAGGAGGCAACCAACTGATGTGTCTCTCTCACATCAATGTTTCTCTCTGTCTCTCCCTCTCCCTTCCACTCTCTCTAAAATTCAATGGAAAAATATCCTCAAGTTGGGATTAACCTAAATAAATAATAAATAAATAAATAAATAAATAAATAAATAAAAAATTGTAGTCTGAACACTGGCTGGTTTGGCTCAGTGGACAGAATGTCCACCTGTGGACCGAAGGGTCCCAGATTTGCTTCCTGGTCAGGGCACATGCCCAGGTTATGGGCTTGATCCACAGTGTGGGATGTGCAGGAGGCAGTCAATCAATGATTCTCATCATTGATGTGTCTATCTCTCCCTCTCCCTCTCCTTTCCTCTCTGAAATAAATAAAAATATATTTTGTTTTGTTTTTAAATTTTAAGTGGCCTGAGCACCCTAGCTGGTTTGGCTTCGTGGATAGAGCATTAGCCTGTGGACTGAAAGGTCTCAAGTTCGATTCTGGTCAAGGGCACATCCCAGGGTTATGGGCTTGATCCCCAATAGGCAGAGTGCAGGAGGCAGCTGATCAATGATTTTCTCTCATCATTAATGTTTCTATCCCTCTCTCCCTTTCTCTTTCCCTCTGAAATCAATAAAAAAATATTTTTTAAAGAAGAGTTTATAAATAAATAAAAATACATGTGACTACTTCAACCTGGGCCTTTGAATCCCAGTAAATGATACAAAGAAGACAGAACAGTTAGAGATTTTTATTAGCAATGCAGCATCAGCCATAGCAGGGGATGCCAGAGTCCAGCGGCCACCAGCCAGCAGCATGTGACTGTATTGGCCAATGGTGGCGGTGGCAGCAGTGGCCCTGGGACCAAGCTCTTCCAGGGGCTCAGTCTGGCTGTATCCTCTGCTCCCCAGTCCTTCATGATCCTACTAGTCTCCCAAGCCTGGTTTTTTAGGCTTCCTACTGCTGCAATGAGTTAAAATGGGCATAATAGAGGCACAAGCAACTCATGGAGTTATTTCAAGCATCAGACAGGTTACTACATATAAAATGCAAAAGACAGTATCTGTCACATAGTTAACACCAAGGAATGGCGGCCACTTGTTTTCCTGTTGTTGTCAGCGGTAGAGTTGCTATTACTGTGATGGCTGATTGCTTGTGAGGTTCAGAGCACAGCGGTGCTGATAAAAGCAGAGGACACCATGACCTGTGTATACAACCTCTTTGGGGCACTGAAAGAGCAGTTTGGGAAAACACATTTACTATATCACAGACAATTTTTTTAACACCCAGAGCCCATGCTCCTTTGGATAGCATTTATTAGACAGTTGGGCTACTTACTAGCTTTGTAAACTTGTAGGAATTACTCACTTTTTTCTAAGCCTAGTTACCCAGGAGCTGCAGTTTGCTCACATATTTTTGTGAAGATTAAATATAATAATCCAGCCGAAACCGGTTTAGCTCAGTGAATATAGTGTCGGCCTGCAGACTGAAAGGTCCCAGGTTCGATTCCGGTCAAGGGCATGTACCTTGGTTGCGGCACATCCCCAGTAGGAGGTGTGCAGGAGGCAGCTGATCGATGTTTCTCTCTCACTGATGTTTCTGACTCTATCCCTCTCTCTTCCTCTCTGTGAAAAATCAATAAAATATATTTTTAAAATAATAATAATATAATAATCCATGGAATCCAGGAATTTCAAAAACTTTAAAAAACAAAATGAAGCAAGCCCTGCCCTAACACGTATGGAAGTATAATTAGAATTTCTAGATCTCGCATATAAGAAAAACAGATCACCCTACTCCAGCACAAGCCACAGAAACTAGGAGAAGCATTAGTAGAGGT